ATATGCATTTGGATAGAATTGATATAAGTTTGCCTTTATTATTTATTGTACTACCAACAAAAAATATTCCTACAGGAGTATTTTGGCAAGAAGGTCCATTATTATGGATACATTTATCTTATTCTCCTAACACTATTCTTACTAGGTATCCTGAGGCTGTAGGACAATTAATACTCAAAGGAATAAAAGCAGCAAAGGGAGTGTTTGGAATTTCTCCCAATAAAATTATTACTCCATATACTATGAATCAAATTGATGAGTTAGCTAATGAGTTAAATACTTGGGCAATAATCATGTGCAAATCTAATGTTTCATTTGATAACCACTTACCATCTAATCCTTTATTGTCTTTTTGGTCATTGCATCCTGTAATTTTTCCAAAAATGACAAGAAAAACACCTATCATGAATGCTCCAAATATATTCACTGATGGGTCAAATAATGGTACAGCAGCAGTCGTTACCCCTGATCAAACTTTTACATTTTTAGTACCCAAACAATCAGCTCAAAAGGTAGAGCTTAATGCAGTTTTACAAGCTTTTGTGATGTTTAAAGATTCTGTATTTAATTTATTTTCTGATAGTCAGTATGTAGTTAATGCTATAGTATCTCTTGAAGATGCTGGTAGGATTTCCCCTTCTTCTACTGTTTTCTCTTTGCTTTCCACTATACAAAGTCTAATCTGGGACAGAAAAGATCCATTCTTTATAGGACATATCAGGGCACATACAGGATTGCCTGGAGCCCTTAGTTTGGGCAATGATTTAGCAGATAAAACTACACATGACATACATATTTTCTCTACACTAGAAGAAGCTATAAATTTTCATAAAAAGTTCCATGTCAATGCTAATACTTTACAAAAGCGTTTTAAAATAACTAAGGAACAAGCTAGACAAATAATAAAACAATGTCAAAATTGTGTGACCTTTTTACCACAAGTTAATCTTGGAGTCAATCCTAGAGGATTGATACCTAACCATATTTGGCAGATGGACGTCACACACTTGCCAGAATTTGGAAAATTAAAATATTTGCATGTTACAGTTGATACTTCTTCTGGATTTTTGATGGGCTCCCTTCATGCCGGAGAAAAAACTAAAGATGTTATAGCTCCAGGTACTCCAGGGTGAGAAGCTGTCCACTTCCCCCAAGTCAACTGAGAACCTAACTTCTCTGTCTCCCCAGATGGCTCCAGCCAGTCTATGGAGAACTTCATTCTTCTGCCTCTCTCTTGGGAAATTGAAACTTTCAGAACCTACTCTGGAGAAGAGAAGGAACCAACATAGGCATTACAAGTGAGCCTAGCATATTAGCAGGAAGGAGTCCTTCAGGTTAACCTGCCCTTGTCCCACTTCCTCTCCATTATCTTCAGACCACAGGCTGTGGTTGACTGGATTGATGATGAACAGGTACTTTCTACTGTGGAACGTCTGTGCCCCTAGGTTTCTAGCTCCACAGGATTCCTTCTGAACTACCTCTTCATGCTAGCTTCATGAGGACTGGGATTTTTATCCTTTGGTTCAATGTTGCATCCCTAAAACTTAGAAAAGTGCTTGGTACATGGTAGAGGCATAATAAATATTCTTTGAATGAATGAACTTTGATATAAAGTGAAATTCCTCACATATATTTAAAGGTTATGAATCTTTAGACATTAATCAAAGTAACTTTGAAATATATAAATAAAAGCTCTTGGAGAAGCCAGGTGTGGTGGCACATGCCTGTAATTCCAGCAGTTCTGGAGGCTGAGGCAGGAGAATCACAAGTTCAAAGCCAGCCTCAGCAAAAGCGAGGCACTAAGCAACTCAGTGAGACCCTGTCTCTAAGTAAAATACAAAATAGACTGGGGATGCCCCCGCAGTGTGGTCGAGTGCTCCTGAGTTCAAGCCCCAGTACCGGCCCCCCCCCCCAAAAAAAAAAAGCTACTGGAGAGTTTAAATATGGCTACCTTCAGAGGAAGGCTCCATTTCCAGTTGCTCTGGGTTCCCAATTCAAGCAGCAAGAATATTGATCAATGAAATTCAATTATAGATAGTCAAAGTCTCTTAGAAACTTAGAAATTCTGGTGCATTGAACAAAGAACAAGAAAGAGTCCATTGGAGCTAAACCTGCAGCTGTGCTGGTTCACCACAGAGAGAGGGTAACACAGAGAGAGAAACACAATGGACAAAGATGACAGAGAAAACCCTACAGAACAGAAAAGCAGCCTGAACTTAGCTGATCCAGAGGCTGCATAGCAAAAAGTTCTGTTCAAAAAGTTCTATGTTTTTCTCACCAAGCAAGGAGAGACCTGAAGTGGGGCCATCTTGAGGCAGCCATGCTGCAACTTGCTGCAGCAGAAGCCAGGAGATCACAGCAAACACTGCCATACTGTCCTGGCAAGAGCCTACCACATGGCCCAGGGTGTACCTGGCAGAACGTGAGTGAAACAGGCACAGACACCATTGTACCCAGGGAGATTCAAGTCAGAAAAATAGAAGGCCGAACAATTCACTTTCTGTTAGAGTCTGGTGCCTCATGTGACCAGCTAAGGAGGGTCAGGGAACTGAACAGGAGGGCATGATTACTCTCAGAGACTAAGCCTGGGAAGACCACACTGTGGGCAGTGAGTGGAATGTATGACACCTGTAAAGGGTTGACCCACTGGCCGGCTAGTAGGATTCTCAAGAGGTTCCAGACTCCCAGCAGAAGCTACCTGGCCATAAGGTGTGTTGATCTAATCTCTCCAGAACAGGTAGCACCCAACAAAGCCCCTAAGGCTGATTAGAGCTAAGCCCCAGCCAAACACTGGAACTCTGCAGCATGAAAAGAGGAAGGGGTTAACATCCCCCAGCCTGCACTTGCTCATTTTCTTCCCCTCCACAGCCCAGCCCAAGAAGGAACAGAAAGAAGGATAGTTGGACGTAGGCAGTGACCATAAATCCTCATCCTCATCAACAATTTTGACCATTTCAGTGGAGATGATTTTCTCATTTTTCATGACGAATCTTTTTTCCTCTTAAGCTTTAGGAGCCTTGTTAAGGAACTCAGATCCTAAGCCAAGATGGTAAATATTTGGTCTGTGTTCTAGTGCCTAAGTCTTTGATCTACTTTGAATTTTGTATATACACATATTTAATTTTTTTTGTTCATTTTAACATTTTTCTTTGTCTTTTGAGGGTTAAGGTTTTACTTTATTCCTTTTTATTTTACTTTTGTTTGTTTTTCTTTCTCTCCTTTCATCTCCCTCTAAAAGCCAAATTCTCTTGTTCTCTTTCTCTCTTATTATTAACTTGTTTTTAAATTATTTTTAAACTTGTTTTTAAATTATTTTCCTCCTTCCAATTTCTCAGCACAAACTCCAAAATCCAAGAGAACTAGGGATGACGTGCTTCAAGGCCTGAAAGAAATAACTGTCAATCAAGATTGCTGTATCTAGCAAAACTATCCTTCAGAATTTAAGAAGAAATAAAAATATTCCAAGATAAGCAGAAACTAAAAAAAAAAAAACCCAATGACTACTAAGAAATACTTTTAAAAATTCTTCATACAAAAGAAATCAAAAACAAACCCCAGGGGCTGGGGATGTGGCTCAAGCGGTAGCGCGCTTGCCTGGCGTGCGTGAGACCCGGGTTCGATCCTCAGCACCACATACAAACAAAGATTTTGTGTCCGCCGAAAACTAAAAAATAAATATTAAAATTCTCTCTCTCTCTCTCTCTTTCTCTCTCTGTCTCTCTCTCTCTCTAAAAAAAAAAAAAACCCAGAGAACACAAATGGACAAATCTTATTTGAAAAGTAGCAAATGAGAAACAGGACCAAATTAAACACTAGGTGGAAATGGAAGGAATTAATAAACATCTCTCTATAATAACATGAAATGTAAATGGTCTCAGCTGTCCAGTTAAAAGATGCAGACTGACAGAATGGATTAAAGAATAAGACCCAACTCATAGCACAGGCTGAAAGTGAAAGAATGGAAATTGATATATCATGAAAATGGAGCACCAAAACAAGCAGAAGTAGCTGCTCACATATCTGACCAAGCAGAACTCAAGCCAAAATTAATCAGAAGAGATAAAGAAGGGCAATTCATACTGGTAAAGGGAACAATCCAACAAGAAGATATAATAATAGTATTTACCTCAAACATTGGTATACCTAATTTCATAAAACCAACACCACTTAAAAACTCAAATACACACCAGTACACTAATACTGGGTGATTTCAATGCAACTTTTTCAACAATAGATAGGTCATCCAGACATAAACTTAGTCAAGATTCTTCAGGCCTAAAAATATTATAAATCAAATTAACTTAACAGACATCTGTAGATTATTTCATCTAACAAAAGCAGAATACACTTTTTTCTCAGCAGCTCATGGAAATTTCTCCAAAGTAGATCACATTTTAAGCCACAAAGAAACTCAGCATATATCAAAAAGTTGATATAATGCCTTGAATCTGATCAGATCATAATGGAATAAAATTAGAAATCAATACCAAAAAAACCTACAGAAACCATATAAACATGTGAAGATTGAATAATACACCACTGAATGATGAATAGGTGATAGAAGAAATCAGGGAAGAAGTTTTAAAAGTTCTTAGAATCAAATGAGAATGATGATACAGCAAACAGAACCTCTGGAACACAATGTAGGTGATTCTAAGAGGAAAGTTTTAACTGTGAGTGCCTCCATAAGAAATATCAGAAATATCCCAAATAAACAATCTAATGATGCATCTCAATACCCTGGAAGAACAAGAAACAACTCCTTCCAAAATCAATAAAAAGAAGGAAGTAATTAAAATTAGAGCCCAAATCAATGAAATATAGAACAAAAAAGCAATATAAAGGATCAATGAAATGAAGATTTGGTTCTTTGAAAGATAACAAGATTGATCAACCCTTAGCAAAATTAATCAAAAGAAAAAGAAGACCCAAGTCCCGGGCCAAATGACAGACCATGGGGAGCGGAGCCCCGAGGCCTCCCAGAGACCCCGTCCATTAAGACAAGGAAGAAGACAAAGAAGAGGACCAAGACAATGTGGTCGTTGTTGAGGAAGTGAATATTGAATTTGAAGCTTATTCCATCTCAGATAATGATCATGACAGAATTAAGAAATTACTGCAGCAGCTTTTCCTAAGGGCTCCTGTGAACACTGCAGAACTAACAGATCTCTTAATCCAACAGAACCATATTGGAAGTGTGATCAAGCAAACAAATGTTTCCAAAGACAGCGATGATGATGATGTGGATGAAGATGAAATTTTTGGTTTCATAAGCCTTTTAAATTTAACTGAAAGAAAGGGTACCCAGTGTGCTGACCAAATTAAAGAGTTGGTTCTAAGCTTCTGTGAGAAGAACTGTGAAAAGCGTATGGTTGAAAAGCTGGACAAGCTTTTAAATGACACCACCAAGCCTGTGGGCTTTCTCCTAAGTGAAAGATTCACTAATGTCCCTCCTCAGGTTGCAATGCCCATGCACCAGCAGCTTCCGAAAGAACTAGCAGAGTCACACAAAACTAATAAGCCATGTGGGAAGAGCTCCTTCTACCTTCTGATTAGTAAGACATTTGTGGAAGCAAGAAAATCTGATTCCAAAGAGAGAAGGAGCAACCAGAAGGATAAATTAATGTTTGTAAATGCAGAGGAAGAGTTTTTCTGTGAGAAGGCAGTCCTGAAGTTCAACTACTCAGTGCAGGAGGAGAGTGACACTTGCCTGGGAGTCAGGTGGTCTTTTGATGATATACCAATGAAGCCCTTGCAAACTATGATGTTAATTCCAGAAAGCAAGATGAGTGAAATTATGGATAAACTGAAATATCACCTATCTATTTGGCCCAGTTTTCATGGACATTGATAGGCTTATTTTTGTAAAATTACCAGAAAACCCAGTGGAGAGTTACTGAAAAACTCATGACTTTATTCAGATTTAAGTCCTCTACAAAAAGTAGGGTTCTTTTCCATGTGTCTATGAAATATTCACAAAATATCTTTTTTTCTGTTTTTTTATTATTAGTTGTTCAAAACATTACAAAGCTCTTGACATATCATATTTCATACATTTGATTCAAGTGGATTATGAACTCCCATGTTTACCCCGAAAATATCTTTTTTTGTCAAATTATGAATGGTTGTTTAAAAACTTCCACCAAGAAAAAAAAAACATGGTGTAGTAATTTTAGGAATGCAATAAAACTATTTAAAAAGAAAAAGAAAACCCAAATTAATAAAAATAGAAATGAAAAAAGAGAACTCATCATAGACATTACAGAAATCCAGAGGATCACTCAAGACTATTTTGAAAGCTTTTAATTGAATAGTTGGAAAACCTAAAAGAAATGAATACATTTCTAGACACATATGACCTGCCAAAATTGAATCTAGAAAACCTAAACAGACCAATAACTAGCAAAGAAAATGGAACAGTAATAAAAAGCCTTCCAACAAAGAAAAGACCAGGACCAGATGAATTCTCATCTGAATTCTACCAGAATTTTTTTTTAATATTTATTTTTAGGTGTAGATGAACGCAACACAATGCCTTTATTTCTATGTGGTGCTGAGGATCAAACATGACTCCCACCTGTGCTAGGCGAGCGCTCTACCACTGAGCCATAATCCCAGCCTCTCTACCAGACTTTTAAAGAAGAACTAATGCCAATGCTTCTCAAATTGTTCCTGTGAAATATAAAGGGAATGGAACACTTCTAAATTCATTCTATGAAGCCAGTAGCACACTCATTCCAAAACCAGATAGGGACACATCAAAAAAGAAAGAAAAATTACAGATCAATATCACTGATGAACTGAAATGCCAAAATCCTTAATAAAATATTAGCAAATAATATTCAACAACATATATAAGAAGATTGTACACCATGACCAAGCTGGTTTTATCCCAGGGTTGCAAGGATTATTTAATATACTCAAATCAATAAGTGAAACTCACCACAAAAATAAAACTAAGGACAAAATTCACAGTCATCTCAAGAGATGTGGGGAAAAATGTGCTGAATTTTGTGAAATTCAGCACCCATTCAAAACCATTGAAGTAAGTAGGGATAAAAGGACCTACCTCAACATCACAATGGCTATATATGACAAAGCCAAAGTCAACATCACAGTGAATAAGGGAAAAGCATTTTCTTTAAAATCTGGAATAAGGATGTCTACTCTCATCACTCCTATTTAATAGAGTTCTTGAAACTCTAGCCAGAGCAATCAGATAGGAGAAGGAAATTAAGGGGATACAAATGGGAAAAGAAGAAGTCAAACTATTTCTGCTTGCTGATGACATGATTCTATATCTAGAATACCCAAAAATCTCTATCAGAAGACTTCTAGAGCTGATAAACAAATTCAGGAAAGTAGCAGATTACAAAATCAACATACAAAAAATCAGTAGCATTCCTATAGGCCAGTAACGAATCAGGAAAACAATCCCATTCACCATATCCTAAAATATTAGGAATAAACCTAACCAAGAAGGTGAAATACCTCCTCAATGAAAACTACAGAACATCGAAAAAAGAAATTGAAAAAGACACAGATGATGGAAAGGTGTCCCATGTTCATGGATAGGCAGAATTAATATTGTTAAAATAGTCCTATTACCAAAAGCATTATGTGGATGAAATGCAATCCCCGTCAAAATATCAATGACATCCTTCACTGAACTATAAAAAGCAGTTCTAAAATTCATTTGGAAGAATGAAAGACCCAAAATAGTCAAGCAAATTTAAGCCAAAAAGCAATGCTGGAAGTATCCCAATACCTGACTTCAAATTATACTACAGAGTTATAATAACAAAAACTGCATAATACTTGCATAAAAACAGACACATAGACCAATGGCACAGAATAGAAGACACAAACTCACACAGATACAGTCTGATCCTTAATAAGCATGCCAAAAACACATAGCCAAGGATATCATAAAAGATATAACAGATTTCCACTTGTGATCATAATGAAATAACTGGACAGGCGACCCCTAAACCACTAGAAAACTGGACAACATACATGAAACCATCATTTTCAGACACTGGCCAACAGGCAAAGCAAATTGATTTGAGTTCCTGAGATAGGGAAGGGGACAGGTGAGCCCACAGCTTCCCTGGGTTCCCTCCTGGAGGTTCTTTCCACAGGGCAGGGAGGAGGATACCAACAGGATATGACAATCTGATTATGCTGAGGAGAGAAACCCGGGAGCTTGGCAGAAAGGGGAGTGCTGGAATTTGGGGACAGAGTAGGAAGAAGAAGGGGCTATGCAGAGAAAGGGCTCCAGAAGTCTGCATAGGAGTCCCTGATGCATGGGGTGGAGATCGACAGAGACCTGACATAGAAATTATCATTCTAAGCTGACCTGACGGAAAGCTAAATCCCTGGAAGGCTGAACAGAGGCCACAGGAAGAGGCTGGAGCCAGCAACACGGCTCTGGGGGTTAAGTCTGGAGACAGAGGAAGCCAGCCCACAGGAGAGAAAGAAAAAAAAGAAAGAGAAAAAGAAAGAAAAATTACAGACCCATATCACTGATGAACTGAAATGCAAAAATCTTTAATAAAATATTAGCAAATAAGATTCAACAACATATATAAGAAAATTATACACCATGACCAAGCTGGTTTTATCCCAGGTCTTTGGAGTGACTTAAAGGGCTGGGAAAACATCCAGTTCCAATCCCATCTGTACCCAAAAGAAACCGAAGGAACAACTGAAAGGCTGGAACTTCCTGGGACTTTGGACTCTTTCTGAAGTCTCTGTAGGTTGTATCCAACATCTGCTGCTTTCGACAAAGTAGCTAAAAGTTACAAGCTGTAAAACCCTTAAATGAAGGTATGTTTATTTGGGACAGAAGGAACATAAAGGAAAGGAGGGTCAATCTAGGGAGAAAGTGCGGTGGCTGTCACAGGGACAAGCAAACACAGAACTTCCATTCATTCAGGGAGTCTTTATTGGCAGCTTAGGCTGGTGACTGAGGGAATACAAAGGTACATCAAGGCTCTCCCTTTGAGGAGCCATTGATCCTGCTGGATCTCATGACGTAACCAAGCTAGAAAGGCTTAAGTGAAAGGACATGGCAGGAAACACAAAGGCCAAAGGAAGACCTAGGGAACAGACTGAATTCAGAGGCCCTTCAGGTGCCACAGCAGCTGGGACGCTCCCTCAGCTCTAGCCTGCCACCTGCTGGCCCATGGGCTTCTTGCAGACCCAGTGATAGGGGCTATTGCAGTTCATGTCATTCCACAAGCTGCGAAGATGGACGCAGTCTTCAGTCTGCCCATTCTTGTGCCTCCAGTTGTCTGGCTGATTTCTGTCCCAAAACCTGGAAGCAATAGGGCTTTATTGTGTCAGACAAAGCAAGTGTCCCTTCCTCCTGAAGTGGCATGAGGAACTGATACCAGCCCCTCACCCTCTAGAGAACTAGGGTAAAGACAGGACTGGGGACAGAGGTACCCTGAAGGTGGCTCTGCTGAGGTTCCCCCCTTAGTTACTGAGGATTCAGTCAGGGAGGGACAGCCTGTGATTTTGCCAGCCCTCACCCCAGAATGCACACTTAGATGCCTTCTGATAGGGGAAAGAGTCTCTTGGGACCAGGCCTGAGTAGGGCATAGGATAGGAAGCAAACAAAACAAAACAAAAAAAGAAAAGCCAAGAAGAACACTCACAGGCTACCTGCCAGTCCCAGGACCTATCCTCCTGATACCCCTCTGTGGGCATCACTCAGCCATACCACATACACATCACATACCACACACCACACAGCAGCTGTACTCACACCTTGCTCCCAGCATTATTGAACTGTGTCCCATCTACCCAGCGCCAGGTGCCCTCCATGCCCATGTCAGTGAGGCCAATCCAGTGGTAGGAGTTACTTGTGAACTGTACCAGGAATGCCTGTGGAGAAGAGGCGGGGTTGTGTTTGACCCTGCACATGAGGAGCTGGTTCTCCAGGCTTTCCCTTCCCTGGTCCCAGGGCATGTAGCCCACCTGGAGAGCCCTCCCTGCACCTTCTGTGGCTTGCTCAGAACCCAGGACTTGTTCAGGACTTCCCTCAGGGAAGTCCAGCATCTTCCATATTGACTGTCCCTATTAGGTCCTTGACCTTGAGGGGTATGGCTTTATTTGAACAAAAACATTCTGTCCATATTAAGGAGATGTGTTTTACAAAGTAGCATGTCCCTCAACAGTCCTATAACAACAGTCTCAAGAGAGCCACAGGAGTGGAGAGTTCTATACTCCTAACTGGATCAAACCTGTTGTAGTCCTTTGTTAATATCCAAGCAAATTCTGAAAAGGACCCTCAGCAGATGGGCTTCCTGGGACCATATTATCATTTGGTGGTTCTAGACTTATAAGTGGTGTCTGGTCTCCCCAGGGAGCTTTGGGTCTCCCGCTCATGAGCCCTCTACAACCACTGAGTTAGCTGACAGTAATCAGGACTGATGACTGGAAAGGAAGCCTAACAGGAAATAGAGGGCATGGGGGAGGGACATATTCCCACTATTTAAGAGCAATCACCTTGTGCCTCCTCCCTTTGCCCGTCCTCCCTGATGACATCTGCTGGCCCTGGGTGTCTCCCTTGATCACTGAGAATATGGACTTTTGCTATCAGTTCTTCTACCTCCAGGTCAAGGTACTCATCTGAACTCAGTAAATATTTGCTCTCTACCTGACAGAGGAGACACAGAGATCTCCAATGCAGTGCTGATAGGTAAGAGGCCAAAGCACCCTAGACCCTTCCACACACCAACTCCATTAGCCACCCCCACCTGCAGCTCTGACCTGCTCTTCCTGAGAGGTCACCGATGCCAGGTGGGCTCCCTTGGACACACAGGACCGCTCAGCCTCATGCCAAGACTTCTTGACGTGAGAAAAGTAATACAAGTTTTCCTCATAGGCTTTCCAGCCTTGCAGGATCAGCTGGAGTAGTTGATCTAGATCAAAAGTTGGGGAAGAGAGAGAGAACCATGAGCAAATGGTGGATGTCCCAATGCTGGCCTTCTGCACTCTCCTGGGGCCAACCACTGAGTTTCAAATGCCCAGAGAATTTCTGATGCTCAGTGCTCCTGGATCAAGGCCTGGGAGGCTGCACCACCAATCCACTACTCACTCCTCCTGGAAGCAAAGCGCCCCCTGCCCCATGCCCAAGTGTCTCAGCCCCTCCTGGGAGGCTCAGCTCTACTCAGTCAACACTGTCTTCCCAGACCCCTGCTTTGGGGCTATACTGCCTCTGTCTCAATTCACTGCTACCACCTGACAGTCCACTCCAATTCCTGGAAGATTTTACAGTCATCTCAGAGCCTCCTTCATTTCCACTATTTAAGAGTAGTCACCTGGTGCCACCTCCTTTTTGCCCTTCCTCCCTGCTGACATCTGCTGGCCCTTCATCTCCATCCTTCAGCTGCCCACACCCATGGCCATCCTGGGAACTTATCGTTACCTAGTCTGCCAGACCTCATAATCCCCAACCTCTGAGAGCTGCTCCTGTGAGCTCAGCTCTTTCATCTCTCCCTGCCATGACACCTGATCTCTGACATTATCTATACCACAGCAGTGTGAATAGAGCTTCACAGGCTCACTTACTCTCTATTTATTCTTGTGTTCAACATTCATTATTAAACATTCCTAAACTTCTCTGAGCCAGGGGCTGTTATACAAGATCAGTAAGACATGATTGATGAGGCCCTTGAAGAACTTACGGTCTAATAAATGAAACAGAGAGAAGGTGTTGATTAAAACCATGTGCATGTTAGAACAGAGGATATGGTTCATTTCACCTGGGAGGGAGGTGTGGCTCCAGAGGGGCATCCTCAGTGAGATGTCACTCAATATAAGTCTTGAGAGATTGAAGGGGAGTTTTTCAGAAGTTCAGTGTCCAGGAGAACATTTCAGACATGGGAAAGAGTAGGCATCAAAGCATAAAGGCACGCAATGACATAGTATGCCTGGCCTGTCGAAGCTACCAAATAAGCTGAGCAGATGACTTGTGGTCAATGTATAAAGGATGGGAGATAAACTTGGACAGATTCACCAGCACTCAACTTAAAACATCATGTAAAGCATTTGGATTTTTTCTCTATGAGCAATGGAAATCAGAGAAAGGTTTTAAGAAGGATCCTAACATGCTCAGATTTGTACTACAAAAAATTCCAACCTGGGGCTGGGGTTGTGGTTCAGTGGGTAGAGCACTTGCCTTGAATGTGAGAAGCACTGGGTTCGATCCTCAGCACCATATAAAAATTAATTAATTAAATAAAGGTATCGTGTCGAACTATAACTAAAATATATATATATATATTAAAATTATATATATTATTATATATTATTATAATTATATTATATATAAAATTCCAACCTGGTGGAGGCAATAGGAAGAAGACACTTTGAACCAAGCAGAAACATCATTTATAGTGTAAGGGCAAAGATCTCAAAAAGATGGTGAGTGTGTGCAATAGGAGTTCTCTTCAAAATGTAGTCCCACACTGGCAACATCAGCATTGTCTGGGAACAGAGTTGAAATGCACATTCTCAGGCCCACCCCAGCCAGCCCTGCTCAATCTGAAATTGTGTTTTAACAATCTACAAGTAGGCGAGCCCTCCAGGTAATTCTCATGTTCTCCAAGGAATGAGAACTCAGCCTGAACCAAAGATTGGCAAACTGAAGCCCACCAGCCAGTCTCTTTACAGAAAGGTTGATTGGCACACAGCCACCCCCATTAATTTATATATTATCTTCCACTGCTTTATCCCTCAGCAACAGAATGGACAACCCAGAAGACTAAAATGTCTACCATTAAGGGAAAAAAGTGGCCCTTTAAGAAAAATTCTAATTAATGCTTCTCAGTCTGACTGCTATTAGAACCACGTAGGGAGCTTTTTGTAAAGTTGTGGTCCCCAGACTGCATCCAGGACCCCCCCCCACCTCCAAAAAAAAAAAAAAAAAAAAAAAGTCAGTTCCAGAGCTTAGTCTTTAAGCTCCTTGAGTGATTCTCCACAGTGTGTTCCCAAAGTGGAGAAGACGGATCTCTGCTACAACAGTCAAAGACCATGGGGGAGTGAGGAGGAGAGCAAGACCTAGAAGAATCATGAAGAAGGGAAGGCTGCCGGGCCCCCACACCAGAACCAGATGGAGCAGAGCAGGCCCTGGGGGCTGCCTGCCACGCCTCCCTTGTCAGCCCATCTCTTCAGTAGCTGCTTCAACCAGACCTTCTCTCCCAGCTCCTCCAGACCCCTCCCCCTTAGCAAACTCCTCCCACTCTAGCCAGAAAGAGGCAGGACTGAGTACCAGCCCCTCTGTTTCCTGTTCCCACATCTCCAGACCAAGATGAACCACGCCTTCCACACACCCAGCCTCAGAGGGGCAGGTTTTGCCCCAGCCTGTGCATTTCATTTCCCTCTCTATCCCTGGCCTCCTCTTCTTTGTTGCTTCCTTTCTCTCACCTGCCCATCAAGCCTATCCAAATCTAGAAAAGAAAAAAAAAAATTTAAATAAATAAAAAACTCTCAAGGAAGTTTGCCAGTGGGTTCACATGGAAATTACAGAAATGCTCATGAAAACACAGCCGTTATTTTCTCATCTCTATTTTTACAATATTTGCCACCACCTCTATATTGCATATGTTGCTCTTCTTTAGAAAGAAGAACCTCTTTGTCTTCTTGCCACCTGAAGGTTGGCTTCTTATTTCCATCCTCAGCCCTCTTCTCATGGTGACTTCTGTCCCATGCAAACTCCCTCACCCTCACTGCTGCAACCAAAGCCAACATACCCAGGGCCCCCAATGACTATGACTATATCCCTATGGCTGTATCCCAGGTTTCTGTCTTGGATTTCAGACAAGCTCTAGGTGACATCCTTGATCCCCCATAGCATCCCAGACCAGCATGAAAAATCTCCCTGGTCCCCTTCCTTTTTTATTCTCCACCTCTAGGAGCCTCCTCCTAGAGATGCAGCCCTTCTGTAATTCTTCATTCCCCAAAAGAGAGGAAACCCAAGCTCAGAGGCCTTCCCTGTCCAGGCTGTGTCTCCCAGGCTACTTCCTTCCCTCATGGTTCAGTGTTTTTCTTTTCTTCTTTGTTTTCCCTGATACTGGAGATTGAACTCAGGATCTCGTGCATGCTAGGTAAGCGCTCTATCACTGAACTACAGCCCCAGTCCTTTTAATTTTATTTTGAGACAAGGTCTTGCTAAGTTTCCCAGGCTGGGCTTGAACCTGCAATCCTCCTGCCTCGGTGTCCTTGGTACTTAGGATTACAGGTGTGTCACCATACCCAGCTAGTGCTGTTTTCTGGACTGTATTCACTGACCCATTAGTGAGTCATGACAAGCTTTGTTAATAAAGAATAGATTATAAAATATCTGAGAGCACCAGATGCAATAAAACATTTGCTTTTTGAAGTGCGTGGGTATGCCTATTGATGCTGTTACAATGTAAAATGAATTTCATGCCATGGTTACATTCAAAGCAGCGTGAAAGTCACTGCTCTAGTCCATACTTGCTGCCTTTTCCACCTGCACCTCATAAAGTTTCCCTCTTTCCCACAGGTTAGTCAAAGTAACTGAAGTTTCCAGAATATCAATTTCACAGCTCTATGGCTGTGTGTTGCTTTCTTACCTGATTTTCTTGGCAAATACTATTAGTCTTTTAGGACTCAGTTCAAAGGCCATCATCTCAACACAGGATCCTCTGATCCTTTCCCACAAAAGATGTCTCCCCACACATACCCCTCAGAAGGTTCCTTCTTGCTTCTTTCTTCTCCTCCTTCACCCCAGCTCCCAGTACCTGTTTCTCACTTCTCACCTCTTATACATGTCTGTGTATCTTTCATGCAGCTTGGCCCTCCTTGTCCAAAAGCTTGTCAAAGATACATAGCAGGTCTTATTCATCTTTATACCTGACACTTAATAGGGCCTCAATAAAATGTCAGATGAGCCAGGTATGGTATTGCACACCTGTAATCCCAGCAGCTTTGGAGGCTGAGGCAGGAGCATCACAACTTCAGAGCTACCCTTAGCAACTTAGCAAAGCCCTAAACAACTTAGCAAGACTCTGTCTCAAAAACTAGAAATTGAAAAGAGCTGGGGATATGGCTCAGTGGTAAAGAGCCCCTGAGTTTAATCCCTGGTACCAAAAAGAAGAAAAAAAAAATGTCAGATGAGTGCACAAATATTGCCATGTGTTAACTCATTGGATCCTCATTGTAAACCACATATTACCATCCCCACTTTAAAGAAGAGGAAAGCAAAACTTGGAGGAGGTGAGCAACCCACCATTCCGACCCAAGACACTGACCTGCCCCACCAGACCCCTCCCTCTCACTTACTTTGGGTGCTCTGTAGCTGCTCCTGTGAAGCAGTGGTTGCAGAGAGCTTCCCCAGGCGACTCTGCTCCTCCTGGATTTTTGCAGTTAGATTCTTGGTGTTCTCCAAATCCTCTTTTAACTTCTGCATCTCAGCCTTGGCCTTCTGCAAATTGCTCTCTAACATCTGAGTCTGGGAACTTAAGGCTGCAGCACCCTTCATTCCTTCTTTTAGGGTCTGTATCTCTCTGCTGGCATTTTTCAACTGACCATTTAACACCTGAATCTGGAAATTTAAAGTACTGGCATTTTCCAGCTCTGATTTTAGCTCTTGGATCTGAGCATCCGTCTGTTCCAGATGGCCACTTGCTATTTGGATCTGGGCAGTGGCAGTTTCCAACTCTCTTTTTAAAACGGAACTGTCATCATTTGCCCTTTCCAAATGACCTCTCAGCACCTGTATCTCAGCACTGGTGTTGTCTAAACTGCCCTGCAGAAAGATCTGGGCCTGGGTGTTTAGAGCATTTGCATCTTGTAGACTTCCCTTCAGCCTCTCAATCTCGCTATTGGCCCTCTCCATGGAGCTGTTTAATGTCTGGGTCTGCGAGCTCAAGGTATTGGCGGCCTTAAGAGCACCTCTTACCATCTGGATGTCAGCCCTGGCATCTCCCAGATGACTGCCAAGTGTCTGGATCTGAGAACTGACATTGTCCACTCTGTACTTCAACATCTGGATCTCTTCATGCCAAGTGTAGGAATTTTCCATATGCCCTCTGAACATCTGGATCACCTCTTGCATTCCTGCTATGCTGTCAAAATAATGATGATCTGGGGGAGGAAGAATCAGAGAAGGCAGCCAGAGGCCCATTATGTAGGGAAGATCAAATGCATCAGAATGCTTTTAAAAGCATCAGAATGCTTTTAAAAGATCCAAGGGCAATGTCCATGATACAGCCCTGCATCCCTCTCAGGCAGCCTGCAGGACACTGCAGCCACCCAGACCCTGGGGATGGGCCGCCTGAGGATGTGGACCAGAAATATAAATAAATGAAGACCAAAGCATCATGGAAATTCCTCAGAAAACTTGGAATGGAACCACCATTTGAGCCAGCTAACCCACTCCTTGGTTTATACCCAAAGGACTTAAAATCAGCATACTATAGTGATGCAGTCATATCAATGTTTATAGCAGCTGAATTCACAATAGAACCAACCTAGGTGCCCTTCAACAGATTGATGATTAAAGAAATTGTGGTACATATACACAATTGAGTATTACTCAGCCTTAAAGAAGAATGAAATTATAGCATTTGCTGGTAAATGGATGGAGCTGGAGAATATCATGCTAAGTGAAATAAGCCAACCCCAAAGAACAAAAGGTTGAATGTTTTCTCTGATATGCAGATGCTAACTCACAATGGGGGGTGCTAGGGAAGAATATAGGTACTTTGGATTAGACAGAGGGGAGTGAAGGGAGGGGAGGAAGTATGGTAGTAGAAATGATGGTACAATAAATTGAACATTATTATCCTATGTGCATATATGACTACATGACTGGTTTGATTCTACATCATGTAAAACCAGAAGAATGAGAATTTATTCTTCATCTATGTATGATGTGTCAAAATGTATTCTACCATCATGTATAACTAATTAGAACAAATTTTTTTAAAAAAATGAATACCAACCTAGCTATCACACATGAACAAGGGGTTGGGGGATTGAAATACCTGCCTAGAAGTAGATCACCCAGAGCTAGGCAGTAAAGTTTGAATTATTTTTGCCATAATAATTGCTTAACTTGAAAGTAACTAATTATATCCTTTAAAGCTGTTGAAGTTTAATTCTACTGAAATTTCACCATAGATGGGTCATTATAAAAAAAAAAAAAATAGGTATGAGGAAAGCCCGTGTTTGGTCCTATGGTGTATCTGTACACTAAGCATGAAGTCCCTTGATTTGCCCTTGTTACTTCCTAAACACTCTGTAGACCACAAATACACATTTTATGATCACAAATTTGGGCGGGTGCGGGGGGATAAGTATCTCAGGAGGAAGCACACTGTTCAGTTTACAAGGCCAGAATGGAGGAGTGCCACGCCCTTTGATAACAATGGATCTACATTGAAATGTCCTTTCAAACGGCTGGAACTTCAATATTACATAGGGAAAGGGGCCTACAGAAAAGTTTGAGGATGTGGGAGACCTGAGTAAAGGCCTTTGTCAAGTCTGGTGTAATGGCGCACACTTCTAATCTCAGCCACTCTGAAGACTGAGGCAGGACAATCAAAAACTCAAGGCTAGCCAGGGCAATTTAGTGGAATCCCCAACTCAAAATAAAATAAGAAGAGTTGGGGGGTGTAGCTTAGTGGTAGGGTACTTGCCTAACATAGGGAAGGAAGGAAAGAAGGAAGGAAGGAAGGAAGGCCTTTGTTGTCGGGGTAATTCCTAGAGACTCGGCAGCCTCTTTAATCTGGGGGGTCTTCCTACCAGCCCCACTAGCCCCTGCCTTGGGCCTGCTTGCATTCTTGGCTCACCTCATCAACTAGGACCTAATCTCAGACATTTCTGGTTGCCTCCTGATTTTAGCCTCCCCCAAAAATAGAGGGAAGAAAAAAATAGGGGGAAGAACCCAAGAAGGCAGGGACTGTTTCTGGAATATTCGTGTACTATTCCTCATGCTCTGTCTAGGTGGGTGTGTGAGGCCTCAGCAGATGGCCTTTGAAGCCCAGTCAAATATTCTGTCTTATAAAGATAGATAGATCGGGCTGGGGATGTGGCTCAAGCTGTAACGTGCTCGCCTGGCATGCGCAGTGCGCTGGGTTCGATCCTCAGCACCACATAAAATAAATACTGAAAAATTCTCTCTCTCTCTCTCTCTCTCTCTCTCTCTCTCAAAAAAAAAAAAAAAAAAAGATAGATCAGTGCTGGGGATATAGCTCAGTTGGTAGAGTGCTTGCCTTACATGCACAAGGCCCTGGTTCAATCCCCAGCACCACAAAACAAACAAGCAAACAAAAAAAAGATAGATCAGTGCAACAGAATGGAGACTTCAAAAGTACCACCACACAGATATGGACAGATGATTGTCAGCAAAGATGAAAAGGTAATTCTTAGAGGATAATGCTTTTAAAAAATAGTGCTGAGACAAATGCCATATGCAAAAACAAAACAAAAGCTATAAAATTTCCAGGAGAAAACAGAGAACATCTTTGTGGCCTTAAGTTATGCAAAGATTGATCAGATACAAAACCAAAAGCATGGGCTGGGGCTAGGGCTCAGTGGTAGCGCACTTGCCTAGCATGTGTGAGGCAGTGAGTTCGATTCCCAGCACCATATATAAATAAATAAAACAAAGGTCCATTGGCACCTAAAAATAAAAAAAAAAGACCAAAAGCATGGTCCATTACAGGAAAGAAAGAGGGAGAGAGAGAAAGAGAGGGAGAGAGGCTGAGGGTATGGCTCAGTGGTAAACATATGCTTAGCATGCACAAGGCCCTGGGTTTAATCCCCAGCACCAATAAATAAATAGGGCTATCAGAATTACAATCTTGGGCTGAGGATATAACTCAACTGGTATAGTGCTTGCCTCACTTGCACGTGGCCCTGGGTTCAATCCCCAGCAACACACACACACACACACACACACACACACACACAAAATACAATCTTATTCAGAGAATAAAAAAGCAAGTCATAGATGCAGAGAAAATATTTGCAAATTACATGACCAGTAAAGAATTAAAAATGAGTGCATATGTCATGTCCCCTTTTATATAAAATGCTAGAAAAAGCAAACTAATCTTCAGTTACAGGAATCAGATCAGTGATTGTCTGGGATAGGTGTGAGGAGGAGATCACAAAGGGCCAACAGTTACACTCTGGGGCTGAGTGATGAATTTGAAAAATTTTAGAATCTTTCTAAGGAAGATGGAACCTATTCAGAGACCTGGAGGTTTCAGAGGAGAAGCTAGTCCCAGGGTCTAAGCTTCCAAGTGTCCCAGTTCCCTCCCAGCCCCTACCCCACCATGGCTACTCACTGCGGGGCTCCACAGGTGACTGGCCAGTAGTGTTGTCTCCCGGAAACATGGCTTTAAACTCTTGGAAGGAAGGATGATCCCCCGGTGCAGGGCTTCGGGACTGGAGAGCTGAGACACCCCATTAACTGGGTCAGTGCTATCCCCAGCACTGACCCTGGAGAATAGGCTGACCTACACCAATTAGAATTCCAGAAAGATGGAGATGGCACCAAGGACACTCTCAGAATTTCCTTCATGGGCCTCAGTTCTGGGAGGCTCCCAGTGGTCTCTACTGCCAGGAGAGCTGTGGTCTGGGCCGGGTTGGTAGTGAAATGGCCCTTCTGGGAGCAGAGAATGTACATCTGGGTCCCCTGGAACCTTCACACAGGAAGGAAAGAGTCAGTGGGTTTCGGGTCACCTGAAAACTTACCCACAACAAAGAGAGCCACAAGAGAGGAGACCAGGATCACAGCCAGGGTGGCCACAACAAGCCTTGACATCCTGGGGGCTGCTGGAGCCACTGTCTCAGAATCCACCTCTGCAAAGGAGAAGCCAGGGTGGTCCAGGATGAGAGGGTGCCATGCCCGCAGGGACAGAGGCAGTCTCTCTGACCCAAGCTCCGGGTCTATCTAGTGGGGATGGAAAACCCATCATGTTTATCACCCAGGTGGCTGCCGAAGGAAAGGGAAGCACTTGGGACATTTGCCAGAGCTCATCATGGGGTATGGGAGCAACACCAGGAAAGGCATGCTGCTGAGACCCCAGTGCTCAGAATCCCAAGGAGGCTGCAGTGGCACCAGGGGCACAGAACCTGGCACAGAGGGGAGAGCAAGGAAAGTGTGATTTGAGTGAAAGAAGAAAGGAGAAAAGGGAGGGAGAGGGGAAAAGAGGAAGGACAGAGCCAGAGCCCTTGGACTCCCCGGGCCAGTCTTGCTCATGAATCCTGACCAGAGCAAGAGCCAGAGCCCTTTGGGGCCACACTGCTGCCTCCCCACACACTGACATGCGACAGTCCTGGAGCCTCTGCTACTGGGGTTAGAATGCCACCATGGGTATGGGACTGTGATTAGAGACAAAATGTGCCCAAGGAAACACACTGACAGTGGCTAGAAACCAGCCCAGAGCCCCCAGAGGCTTACAGGTCCGCCCATGTACAGAACTGGGGTTCAAAACCAGGTCCGACTAAATTCAAAGTGCAACCCCTTTTCCTTGCCATCCTCAACAAAAGAGGTCTAGGGAGACTTCATGCAGAGACCAAGAGGTGCCCTATCCTCTACGTGACCCACATTCTGCCCTTACCTGCTTATTGTGTAGGCCAAGACAGCAATGATCTGTGCTCTGACTTGCTAAGGAAGAGCTCAGAGGGCTGGGAGACAGGCGGGCTAATCCCAAAGTTTTCTCACCTCGGGGATGCAGGGAGACACGCTGGTTATCTGTGCAGAAGTGGACCGTGTCACTTTCCATCTCTGCGTCCTTCAGCCCTGCTGCTCCCGCTAGGAGCAGGTCCCGGGACAAAGACCAAGTAACCAGCAAGCCAGTAACAGTGGGAGCAAAACGGAAATACCCCAGACTTATATGCTCCTGGAAAGGTCATGATCACATTCAAAGCCCTCCCTACTGACTCTGCAGAAACCCAGCCCAGCACAGCCCCTCCCATCAGGCTTCCAGGAGGCCATCAGCCCGGGCCCTGTCCTCTTCCTCTTCCCATTGGCACCTCCTCCTTTAGTGCCCCAAACTCCAGCCTCTGCCTCAAAGTCACAAATACACCTGTTCTCTTCTCTGGGGGCTGAAACTGGCTGCTTGAGAAGAGGGTAGAGGTGTCTCAGTTCTGCAGAGAAAGCATTCTTGCAACTGTGGCTAGTCCTTAGTCCCACCCCAGTCCCTCTAAAGTAAAAGGAGGTCAGGTGATGGAAGTCTGCAGGGTCCATGTGGCAGGGAGCTGCAGGTTAAGGGAAGGGATGGGGTGACTCACTGCCCACTTGGTACCTTACAACCTGATTACAGGAAAGAAGCTGAGATGATTTGAAATATATATTTGGTCTTTGTCCTAGGTCCTGGCACAGAGCTCCTGAAACTCTATTTGCTGAGTGATGGGAGTGCCTTTTGTCATACCTAATGACCACACCTGAGTTTATGTTAATGACTGGCTCAGGTACACTAGGGAGTTTCAGGATGGTTGGTGCACTAAAGACCCACCATTAGCAGGGAGAACTTTCAGAAACTCATCCCCACTCCCTCCTCTCAGACATCCTGGTAGGGGAGAGAAACTGGAGATGGGGTTTTACAAACTCTTGAACAAAACTCAAGGAGTGTCTCCGGGCTGGACATCCCATGTTCTGGGATGTCCCACCTGACTCCATGGAGACAGAGGCTGTCATGTTTTGGGACCCCTCTGGACCTTGCCTTATGCCCTCTTCATTTGGCTGATGGTACCCTTTGCAATAAACTCTAATAGGAAATCTAATGCTTTCCTGAGTTCTGTGAGTTGGTCTAGTAAGCCATCAAAACTGAGGGAGTGTCATGAGAATCCCCAAATTTGTAGTCAGCCAGGCAGAAGTGTGGGGTCACCTGGGAGCCCCATTCATTGCTGGTATGGGAAGTGGAGACTGTCTTGGGGGATAGAGCCCTAAACCTGTGTGGTCTGTGCTAATTCAGGGAGTTAGGGTCGAAATCAAATCAAATTGGGCCCAGTGTGCTGCTTTTCCATGAGATGTATAACTTCTAGCCATGTTTACTGCTTCAGGAGGTTCCTACCCCTTGGTGGGCCTAGAACTAGAAGAAAGGGAAGTGAAGTATCCCAGTGGATGTCACCATGGACCTATGCAAGCCTGATGTCCCTGTCCCTACTAAGGGATAGTCACTTCAACAGAACCAATATTCTCCACTGGCTAGTCAAGACATCCCTCCAAGAGCCAGTTCTGGGGATACTGGCAGATTCTTGTCCCTGGGTTCCCCTTTTCCCCATTGCCTCAGATGGTAGTATGAGTGCAAGTCAGTCTCCCATCGCCACCACTCTTGCAAGCTGTCAATGACAAATTTGCAAATTGCTTACTTCCCCATATTGTTGTTTTCCTGTTTTTATCCTCTCTCTCCACTTCCCTTTCCTGTGCCTTTTTCACAAATCCTGGGGACAGCCTCCCGTAGGCCCCTAGGCACTAACTAAAATGACTTCAGACTCCATCGGTGGAAAAGCCACATAGAAAGGGGCTAGAATTGCAGCACGGGTCGAGGAGGAGGCTGTGTGATGGAGGCCCCTGTCCACTCAGTGGGCAGGTAGCCCAAGGATGGCTGACCTGCAGGGTAGAGAGGGAGTGGCTGCCCTCTCCCTGTTCATAATGCTATGTTTGGTGCTCGTGTGTCAGTAGGACCGTGCAGGGAGCGGTGTGGCTTGCAGAGTACACCTGTTGGCCTTCTGTTTGACCTCCTGCCTGTTGAACGCTGACCTGGGGAAACAGAAAGTCACCCCAGGACTGCTGTTTCTCAGCCAGTCAGCAGCCCTTCCAGGGCCCCAGCAGTGTCCCCCAAGCCCTTTCTCCACATGGGACAGGAGCTGCTGGAGGTGGCTCCCCGGGGATGGAGGTGAAAGAAACGGGCAGTCCTGGTTTCTATTTCCCCACACAAAATACTCGGGTTGGTCCCACTCAGGAACTCTTTCCCCCAAGGGCCACTGAAGATAAGAGGGCTTCGAAAGCAGAACTTTGGGGATCCCTTGCTCAGCAGAAAAGTGGAGTCTGGACCAGGAGAGGGACATAGTCCTCCAGATTATGACCAGCAGGACTCCTCCTCTTGCTCTGCATTTCCTGTCCCCATACCCTCCTGCTGCCTTCCACCTCCACTCCAGGGTCCCAATTTTATATTTCCCATGAGAACACCATCTGCCAGCAGGGAACAAAACCTGGGAGGTTGCTATGTCCTTGCTGAGAGGGTCCTCTGCTCTCTAGCGAGAGAAAACCCAAATGGGTAGAGAAAACTCGATTACCAGAACCAGTTCACAGCTGGACTCACTCATGCATTTGTTTTTCCTGCCCTACTGAAGGTCACAGGGTCATGCTCTTGAAGATCCATTCCTTTACCAACTAGAGCTATAGACCTGTTGTAGCTCAGAGACATCCTGGGAGGTATCTCACTTTCCATATCAACCCCTAACACCACAGGGTTAGTGAGTTGTTCCAAGGCCAGATCCAGCAGTTAGTAATGGGAAAACCCAAGCAAGGCCTGCAAAGGCCTGCAAACCCAGGGCCGGGCAACTGAGGAATGACACAGCTCTGTGCTCAGGCATTGTCCCTATGGTTTGCCTTGAGAACCACCCTCCTCCCATCCTCAGTCCATACCATCCCCAATCTGCAGCTCCAAGAACAAAGTTGCCGCAGTCTGGCTGGGCACACAATCATGAGCCACCACACAGCTTGTAGATTCAAACAGCAACTCTTTATTCCCGAACTCACACCAGCCGTCTACAATCACGTTCTGGGGAAATCCACGTTCTCTTCCCAAATCCACCTTCTCTGCCCAAATCCACCTCCACTGGGCTTCTGTCTCCCAAAATATATTGTCTGAATCCCGTGAGAACTCAAGGGGAACTCAGGCAGCAGGATACGCCCTATTCCCAGCAGGAATAATCTTAAACCTTAAACCTGGAACCTAAACTGGGAACGCCCTAAACACGATTATCTTAAAACCGGGAACACCCTAATCTGCCTTGGTCCTTGAGCAAGGTCACGTACATTCAATGTCACTGCAACATGTCAGCAACATGGGGTACGCTGGCAAGGAAATTGTCATACCTACTTGGCTAATGGCTCCCAGCACAAAGTCATGGCTTGACCCACCTAACATGTCTCCCTGACCTTCCTCATTACTTCTGGGATGGAATGTAACCCAATCCTAGGTTTCTATTGAAACAGTCGCAAAGGGAAGCTCCTTCCTCTGAGCTTCTCTTGCAAAGGTGTGGGCTTGTGGGCTCAGAGCTACCAGGTCACCATTCCTGGAGAGTCTGCCTGCCACCAAAGCCACACCAGAGACTGCCGGAACAGAGGGTAGAGAGAATAACGTGAGCACCTGTTTTCAGAGGCACAGAGCACCCTGTCTACCACACCCAAACCCAATAGCAACTCCTCCCATCCACAGGCCTTAAGCAGCCACCATCTCATCTGGCTTTAATTTAAATAGTCTCCTAACTCTTCTCCCTGCTTCTCTTCTTGCCCCTTCTCATATCCTGTCAACATAATGCATATTGACCTTTTCAAAAACCAGTGGGTGGGCTGGGGATGTGGCTCAAGCTGTAGCGCGCTCGCCTGGCCTGCGTGCGGCCCGGGTTCGATCCTCAGCACCACGTACAAACAAAGATGTTGTGTCCGCCAAAAAACTAAAAAAAATAAATAAATAAATTCTCTCTCTCTCAAAAAAAAACAAAACAAAAAAAAAAAAAAACAAAAAAACAGTGGGTGCACACTTGTGCATTACCCAGCTCTCTCAGCTGAGCAATGAGAGCCTGATAGCAACAACCACAATCAGCAGCAAGATGGTGGGCTCTGAGATCATCCTCCTCTAAAGGAAACCAGGCTCACTGGACAAATGGCAGATTCTAAGACCCAGGCAGGAAATACACGAGATGTGCTTGCAGCATCTTGTGGTACTGGAAATTAAGGAAATGTTTTAAAAAGAAAACACTGATGAGACATTTGATCCAGCTATCCCTCTCCTCGGACTATCCCCAAAGGACGTAAAAACAGCATACTATAGGGAGACAGCCGCATCAATGTTTATAGCAGCACAATTCACAATAGCTAAACTCTAGAGCCAACCTAGATGCCCTTCAGGGGATGAATGGATTAAAAAATGTGGCATATATACACAATGGAATTTTACTTAGCAATAAAAGAGAATAAAATCATGACATTTGCAGGTAAATGGATGGCACTGGAGAAGATAATGCTAAGTGAAGTTAGCCAATCCCTAAAAAACAAATGCCAAATGTTTTCTCTGATATAAGGAGGCTAATCATAGTGGGGTCGGGAGGGAGAGCATGGGAGGAATAGATGAATTCTAGATAGGGCAGAGGGGTGGGAGGGAAAGGAAGGGGACAGGGGATTAGCAAGGATGGTGGAATGTGATAGACATCATTATCCAAAGTATATGTATGAAGACATGAATTGATGTGAACATACTTTATATACAAACAGAGGTATGAAAAACTGTTCTATATGTGTAATAAGAATTGTGATGTATTTCGCTGTCATGTATTTAAAAAATAACCCCCCCCAAAAAAAAAAAAAAAAACAATGGTGAGAGAATATCAAAAGGACACAGGAACCAACTGAAAGAGCTCCCAGGGCCAAAGACAGGAAGAGAGCAAGAAAATAGAGTTGGATTATAACCCAAAATACAAATATACACAAATTCATTCTGATCTAAATTAATATTTGAATAAATCAATAAATCTTGACAAATAAAATAAATAAGTAAACAAGTTTAAACATTTCAAATAATTTATGTAGCTATTTCACCATCTAGAAGGCAGACTATAACACTGTATTTTTATTTGTTTTGTTTTATAAAACATTATCTTA